GCTGTGTGTGTGTGTGTGTGTGTGACATTCTTCAGCAGCCTGACTCCAGTGTGAAAAAAAATTAATAAGTCTGTAACACTGTGGACTTCAATTTATTAGTTACCTTCAGTTTACTAGTTACCTGCCAGTCAGGCGGTGGATCTAGTAAGGCTTCTGAGGAGCTCTTGCCTGTGCAGATAACTGTGGTAGGCCAAGGGAAATAACGCTGACATTTTGGGATAAAACCGACCAAATGATCATCATTCTTGAATGGCTCCTCTCATCTTTTCCCCACTCTGCCTTTTTGACACATTTTCCCATTTTCCCCAAGTTCCCATTTTTCACAGTTGACTTCTAGAAGGTCCCTTAGGATCTATGCCTAGAATACTCCCTGAGTCCCTCTGTATCATCTTTAGAAGCTACAACTCCTCCCAATAATAAATAAATGGCATTATCATCTTCATTTCCCCATCTCTCAGGCAAAAAGAGTGTCCAGCAAGACCACATCAAATGCTAAATCCCATGACCCCAACTTGCCACCCTGGCCCAAATGGACACCATCAATCACCACTGCATCTGATTGTTATTAATCCATTAAAAAAAAAAAAGCCACGGTTGTCTTCCTCTGCCAACCAATCTGAATCCATTTTATAAGATTTCATGAGACACTGTGTTTGCTAATATCTACATGGTATTGCCTCCTAGCCCCAATTCTGTAATGTGCTTGCAAATGTTATTACACTTGTTGGACATGGTTTGTTTTCAATAATCTCAAAGCTTTTTTTGTTGTTGTTATTGGAATGCCACAGCCCTCTCTATGTTTACTTATTCTTTGCTTGCTTATCAAGTGCACAAAGCATCTCCCATCCTCCCACTGCCCCCAGAGCGCCAGGTACTGGATTTCTAGGTTAGGTAAGAGATGCACATGGAGCAGGGGACAGAGCCCTGAGGCAAGGAAGAGTGGATGAGGGAGGGGGTAGGAAGGGAGAGAAGATACTCCCAAACACTTTCCTGTTACAATGTGTAACCATCTGGGTTTTTATCAGTTCTCATTTAGAAGGTAAAATGTGCTTAAAACTAAACATTCCCTATCTGAACTTTTGAATGCCCAAATATACCAGAGTCAGCTGTTTTGTACTAAATCTCTCTAAAAGTTGCAGGGGCACCTGGGTGGCTCAGTCGGTTAAGTATCCGACTCTTGATTTCAACTCAGGTCATGATCTCAGGGCTGTGAGATCAAGACCCGAGTCATGCCCCACACTGGGCGTGGAGCCTCCTTGAGATTCTCTCTCCCTCTCCCCCCACCCCCGAAAATTAAATAAAATAAAATCAGTTGCAGGGAATCCAGTCCCCCCCCCGCCCCCAAGAAAAATTAAAAATCATCACCAAAACCCAGCCATCTAATTTTCCACTCTTAACTGAGCTTAACATCAATGCCCCCTTGACCTGTGTCCTCACACCAATGCCAAGACAAGTAACAGACCAGGCTCCCCTTTAGGATAAAGCACTACTGTGCACGGGCCAACTACTCACTCACTCTGCATACATCATCTTTAGTCTTCACAAAATCCAATGAGGCAGCTACAATTATCCTCACTTTACAGATGAGAACCTGGGGATCAGAGAAGGTAAATGACATTCCCAAGCTGGCATGGCTGGAAAGAGGCAGAGTGGCATTCAAAGGGAGGACTTCAGACTCCAAAGCTCTTACTCGTTTCCCTAAGTCAGGCTGCCTCCCAAGTTAAACTCCCCAGGCCCCCATCAGAGTTGCCACAGACTCTACCATCTCTTCATCATCATCAATAAATATTTATGAAGGACCCACCGCCTACATGCCATTGCTCTTGTTTCCAAAGCAACATGCTGTCAAGAGAGTCACGGGAGTATCCCGTGCTTAAAGGAACGATGCTGTACCGTCCTGTGATCGTGGCTCTGAAAGGTGACAGTTACACTGCTCCCTCGGAGGTTGTCACAGATGGCAGCCCCAGCCTGCAAGCGCTGCGCTAGGGACCAGCAAGAAGAAATGGGATAGAGCAGAAAGGTAGCAGGTTTTTACCCAAGAAAGTGGTCTGCTTTCACTGTGATGTGTTTGTGATTGTTGCGGAAACAGAATCCAAGCCAGCTTTGCACATTAATTATTTTATTAGGAAAGAAATCAAACAATCCAGGAGAGAAAATAAAATTTGACTGTACTGCTAACAGCTCCCCAGAGATAACCGGCAACGAGTATCGAGTTAAATGACTACATCGCTAACAACTGCAATCTCAAGTCGGTCCCCTCTATGATCCATTTCTGCTCTCAATGTACAGATGCTGAAATCCCCTAGAAAATGGACTATCCCCTTATCTGTTTGTTTGTTTCTCTCTTGCCCTATCCCAAATGATGTTTTGCCACACTCTCAACAAGCTGATTTCAAATGCTTTCTTACTATCATTCTTTACAAGCATCACCCTGGCTCATAAAACACATCTTAGAGTAGGAAGAAGGAAACTGCCTTCTGATGACAAGCTCTTGACACTGACTTTTGGACACAGTGACCAACATGTTACAGCAAAACACATCACCCTAACTGTGCACTAGATGAAAGCTTACAAATTTAAAGTGCTTTTAAGACTGGGAATTTTCAGATTAAAAGAATATGGAGAGCACACCACCGAGTTTTGAAACGTATTATTTACCCAAACTTGCCAAAAGTTTTAAATAAGATACTTTAAAGGAAATCAAGACATTGTCATATTTGTACTGGATTTGGATTCCAACAATTTCAGCATTTAGAAATAAAGTAAGAGGGTAAGTCCACTTTAAAAAATCAACACTTGCAGAATCCCTGCATCTACAAATGTAGATGTTTGTGAAGAATTCCGCAAAAAAAAAAAAAAAATCTAAATGGTCTAAGATGTTAGCATCTTAGATAATAGATATATACAGAAAATCACCATTTTTACAAATTAACGAGGCTCTCTTGCACACAAGCTAGTCTCACATGTTTAAAGAGCCCCCGGAACAAACACAGTCACTTGCTAAATATATGCTGTAGTAGGTTTGCAGAAGCCACTCTGCTCAGGTAGAACCAAAAGAAACATATGGAACCTTAAGAGTAGATTTCTTCCCAAACCGTACTCCTGGATTGCTTTTCTTTCCCGTGTGTTCCCAAAGAGCAAACAAAGAAAAGGTGCCTGCTCCTCACACTTCTCTAAATGTTTTAACAAAAGGCTGCTGAATAAACACATGACTCATTTAAAATTTGAAAAGAAGTTCTATTCCTGAGATGAAAGCAACTAGATTTGCATTTTAACAGTTGTGGGCGAGCGCCACCTGGCGGGAGCATCGCACCCCGCGTGCTTTCTGCATTGGACAGCTTCCCCAATCCGGCAGGGTTTTACCGCATGCTGCCCAAGAACGGCGGTAGAATATTTTTAATCCGGGGTGGGGGGGGGGGTTGGTTTTGGGTGGGTTTTTTTCGCCGCGGAAACGTGAGTACTGTTAATGTGTGGCAGGCCGGCCAGGCCTTGGAGGAAAGTAAAAACTTAAGTCACAAATCACGCCCTTGTCCCCAGGACTGCCCCCAGCGTCCTCCTCTCCCCTCTTTAGCACACCTAATACAGACCCCAAACGAGAGCAAGAATTGTACACCATCTTTAGGAGGGCGTTGTGCCTGTCCTTCTTCTCTCACTTGCTAATCCAACCTTTCAGCTTCACGAACACCGCAAAAGAAGTGCCCTAGTCATCTAACTTCCCAGCCACAGAAACAGGCTGTCCCTTTCCAAAGTCCCATACTCGGTTCCCATTTTGGTATGGCGCAAGAGAGACACGCCAGTGCGTTTCCACTGGAACGTCACTCCAGCGGCTCCTAACCTCAAAAGCAGTCTGTTTAAAGAGGTTACACTCCACCGCAGCTTGCTTCTTTCCCTTCTCTTTCTTTCTTTGCTTCTTCGTGATAATACACGGGCACCGCTGTTACTTAGCAATCCGAAACTGATCTTTTCCTAAATCTCACTGGTTCCTCTCGGCGTGTCCCTGTGATCCCAACAATCTCCTCTCCGTGTGGTCACACCAAAGCCAATCGGTGGTAAGAAACTTCAAGGTGATGTTGAACTTGGAAGCATACCTGCGCCACTCCTGCCCTTCTCTCCCTCCACCTACCGCCCACTCTTTGGGGGCTCGGGGCTGGAAGCTGCCTGCAGTGGGGTCTGGTGAAGTGCAAGACCCAGGATGGTGGTGGTCTTCTGTGCGTCCCAACCTACCATTAGGAGCACACCAGCCCCCAACACTGAGAACTACCTCTGCTCACCTCCTTCCTATGGCCAAACCGAACATGAGTGTCCCCCCTTCCCCCCCAAAAAAAAACTTTTCAGAAACAAACAGGCTCGATGGTCGAAGCCGCTCAGCTTGAAGGGCCTTTACTGGGGCGCCCATACACTCCGGCTAAAAACCACGGGCTGGGAAGGAGGTAGTGCTGTCTCGGTCGTTAACATCAACACCCCCACGGTGCCTTCAGCGGACTGCTCGAGGACTAGCTGAGGGGCGCGGCGTATTCAGAGCAAAGTCTGGAGCTTGCCGTCTCTCCCTGGAGAAAAGAAAAGCCACCGCCCCGGCAGCCTCGGCCTGCTGGCGACCAGGTCTCCTCCCGAAAAGCGCGCGCTGCCCCAGAAGCTGCGGAAAGCGAACGCTCCACCCCGGGCGTCGATGCCGTTTCTCGTCTCGCCGCCCCAAACACTCAAGTGACAGATTCCGACAAGTGGGAGGCAGCAAGTGGAGACATTCGCAACAACCGCGAAAGTTACTCCAGCCCGGGGGCCGCCAGGAAAGTCGGGCGGGGAACTTCGCCAAACCGGGGCTGCCCGGGGCGGGGGGGGGGGGACGCGCGGGCCCGGGCGCGGCTGTCCGCGCCGGCGGCGGGGACCCGGCTTCGGCCTTCGGGACGCGCCCCCCGCGAGCCCGCACAACTTTCTTCCCCGAGGGCCCCCGCGGCGGCGCCGGGCGCGCCGGGGAGGGAGCGGGGCCCGGCGGGCGCACTCACCTGCGGCGCTCTGTGCCCAGGCGCCGGGCAGCGGCGGCAGCTGCAGCCGCAGGAGCAGGCTGAGGGCGAGCGCGGCGAGGCTCGCCATCCGGGCGGCGGCGGCGGGCGGCTCAGCCCCTTCCCGAGGGGGCCGGGGCCGGGGCCGGGACTGGGGTGGGCGCGGGGTGGCCCCGCATCGCCGGCGCGGCCGCACGCAGGGGCTCCGCGGCGCTCCCGGAGCCGGCGCCGCTGCGCTCGGAGCCGAGGCGCGGCGCGAACTGAGGCGGGCGGCTGGGCGGGGGCGGG